TCTATGAAAATTGATAATGGCGAACGCCACAATTTCAATTAACCTCACGGACCCAAAATACAACCGCTTTGAATTTGTACATGGTCCTTCGTTGCCGAATAGTCAGCCAGTGAGTAGAAGGCAGACATTCGACTCGCGCGCGAGTGTTGTGAGTGAAGTTTTTTTGGAAAACCGAACTTGCGGACGTTGGATCGACGTCGCAACCGCAAGTTCCAGGAGCCGATCGAAGTTTCGAAGAGCATCATCGGTCAGCTTCAGATTGTGTCTTCGGTGGACGGCGCAGTCAGGTCACGGTGGGCGGTGCCTGGCTTTGGAGAAGAGGAAGTCTCTACAGTGTCGTGCTCTGAAGTATTAGAGCTAGCACTGTCATTACTACAAATATTATTATTGAATTTCATTAATTGTAATAGAATTATTACTATCATTGATGTCGTTATTATATATTTGTGTTATTAATGGCTTATGGTAACTGAAATACGAAATATATTGTTTACATTTTAGAATTAGAATTAAAATAAACCCTTTGATTTTGCTGATCACTTTAATATAACATATATATATATATATATATTGTTATGAACACACAAAGGAAGTAACGCCATCTAGCGTCAACTATTAAAACCACTAAAGAATAAAGACGACATAAAACCCCCTATTCAACACTAGATGGCGTTAGAGGAACATTTTAAGATAAGAAAAAGATGGCGCGTAACGCAAAAAATGTTACACTAAATTTTTTTCCAACCCCGATAAAGAAGTTTCACTTCAAAAGAAGTTTCACTTCAAAAATACAAAGTACCTGTTTCTTAAATTATAAACTTTGAACAAAAAAAATACTATTATATTCAATCCCATTTCACTTTTTTGTTTGACTCAAATCTGTTAAAAAGTTACGAAACTGGTATGCATATAGAGGATAATTTTATAGACGACGGACATAATAATAGAGCATATGCAGAATTTGATTCTAAATATGAATCTGGTACGTACTTGTGACCTTATTTTTTTTTTTCAAAGATTATTTTTAATTTATTTTAAACAGTATGAACACCACCCAGGGCTGTAGCTAGAGTTGAATTTGAGGTAGGGCAGCATTGATTACAGGTAGAGCGGAAGTAAACAATTAAATTAAATTTGTCATAATTGATTTGCTCTCGAAGCATGAGCTCCTTCTTGTATCTTGTATTAACTGATGTTTTTACTTTCAGTCCCGAGACTATTAAAGCTTCACCTGACGCGGAACCGGTGGGCTAGCAAGAACCCACGGGTTTGGGCCCTCCGCTGTGGGTAGGGCCACGCATGTGCTCATGCGTGCGTTTAAGTATGGTGTGTCATCTGAGGGCCATCGAGGTCGTGGTTCGGACCGAAACCCCGATGGCCGTCGACTGTGCAATTAGCTAATCGGTGGCTGGGAGCGGTGAGAACCACCCCGGAACGCGGGTGTACCTTGTGTACGCGTTGTGTTGGTCTCGCCGTGCTCGGAGGCGAGGGCGAACTAGTGTGTTTGTTGTTGCACTAACTGTGGGTGTAGTGCTATCCGGCGGGACCCCCGGCGGTAGGTCCATCGTTTCTAAGTCCTCTTCGTAGCTCGGGTCGATGAGGACGTGTCGCGGGCGACGCTTGTTGACGTTCGCGTTTGTGTTGGGTTGGTAACTTGCTGCGCTTACCACCAGAGGGTTGGGATGGTGTTCGGCTCTATCGAAGTCAGTTTGGTCAGGTCTTTAAAATATTCGCGAATCGTCGGGAGTCTGCAATCGCTGTGCAGGTCGACGTTGCGTTGATACCACTGCGCACCGGTTGCGCAGCGGATGAACTTATTTTGTACTATTTGCAACTTGTACAAGCGAGAGTAGGGTGCGTGTGGGCGAAGGTCATGCATGCGTAGGACATAATAGATCGTACGCAGGTCTTATATAATAATAATTTGTGCCTTAAGGGCATTTTACTTTTAGCGTTAGTTAAATTGTGTAGCCGGCCGGAGAAGAACGCGGCTCTACTGCGAACGTTATTAATATGCGTATTAAATGACATACGCGAGTCGAAAGTGACTCCTAAGTATTTGACCTTTTTCTCCCAGGGGAGCGGTTGGCCATAAAGGGATATTTGCCCCAACTAGCATGAGCTCCTAAATCAATAATCATGTATATCACTGACCTCTAGGTCAGTTCAATAGCTATTCGTAGAGAAATAATTTCTGTGACAGAACTCGAGCATGGATATAAGCACTATTAAATTAATGATAAAGAATAAGCGAACAAGATGGTTGAACTTCCAGCTTTGGATGTAGAGATCCACGTCTGAGTGAGAGTGAAGTAATAATTAATTTTTGGATGAGATGATACGACCAAAAATACCACATATCAAATTGTTTCTGCAGACCTATTATAATAATTAACATAATAATAAAAATATTTAAAACAGCTGAATTTTTCGATTCGCCATGTTATTAAAAATGCGAAGAACTTCGTTCAGATCAACTGATTTTGTCCTTTTTTTCCAAAGGCCAGTAATACCATACCAGCCATTCTCTCGTGACCCACTGACAGCCTTTGAGGCCCAAAGAGAATGTAATCACTACGTGTTGAGGCCTATTGATTGCAGTTAAAGTTGAAAACGTAGATTCGCACACTGCAGTGCTACATCCTATGGTCGCCACAGATGCAAAAAGTTCATATGTATCTTTAAACGCCTCTCGTTGCCTGTACAACACTTGCAATGTATTTTCCATTTTGTCCTCGTTACGACTCAAGTAAACTTTAACCACACTGGCCTACTTGAATTTTTAAATTTTTTAAACTTACCCAAACTTTTCAGTGGAAGCATTTTATCTACATCCAACTCATCGAGACTTGCAATCGAATTGATTAGATCATCATCATTCAATTGCCTATTTTATTATTATTTTATCCCTTAAACGAGCAATTCTTGTATATATCTTAGTATGTGCTTAGATTCGGGGGCCAAGCATCGATCTACCTGTTTCATTTTTAGAAAATGTCCTTTTATCCCTGTTTTCAGGGAATGAAATATATCATTCGAATATGACGGTAAATTTCGCCGCAAAAAAAATTTTTATAATAGCTCGGTCGGTAATCGGGCGGTCCCAAAACAGACGGCCGCGGTTCGTATCACGATCACACACTTATTTTTTTTTTACTTTTTTTTCTATACCTGATCATTGCATTCTTTATTTTTTTTTTATTTCCAAAATACATTATTTACCAAAAAAAACGAGCAAAGCTCGGTCCTCCAGGTACTTTTTTTATACGAGTACACAAAACAAAGAATTATTAGAATATGAAATGAATGTACACACACTGGTAATGAGTTGATCGCACCCGAGGTATTTCTAAAAGAAAGAAAAAAATTTTTATTTGAAAAAAGTTGTATAATATTTTAATTTTTTAAGAAAAAACTTACGAATAAGAGGATCTGCGGAGTTTCTTTCGCCTGTTTCTTCTCCGTTAGAGGAACCTCATGATGAAACGGTGGTAGATTAAAACCAATACTATCGATAGATGAAATGTATGTTTCCTAAGTCCATAAATAAATTATTTTGATTTTGACAAACTGTGGTATGTTCGGAAAAGTTGAGATACCTATCGCTACAACTTTTATTACAATAATGTATCTTAGTTTTTGAATGAATAAATGAATGAATACTTTATTGTCCACCACACAAAATAGGATACACAAAATTAACAATAGACAAACAAATTAATGGAATGCACAATTTGGCAGCCTTATCACTTCATAGCGATCTCTTCCAGGCAACCAATGGCGTAAAGGAACTTTACTACGTAGGTTGTGTAATAGTATAGTATATAATGCAGTAGTAGAGCTTAACAGCCAGTACGGTAAAAGATTTTACAAAAAATTACGTTTTGTGGTTTGGCACCTTTAAAATGAGCTTCCTCGAAGAAGGTAGGATCTTCCCCTAGAAGCCCTACAAATTCAAATTTCTCCTTTAAATAAAGTGGAGTAGAAACATGAAATAGAACACAGTCGGTACAGCATAGAAAGAATATACAAATTCCGGTAAAGTAGGATGGGAAATCACTTGAGACGTGTTCAAAATTGAAAAACGTGGTCATATTTACGCATTTTTATTTTGGTATTTTTAAGGTAGGGCATTGCCCTACAATGCCCCCCCCCCCCCCCCCCCTAGCTACGGCCGTGACACCACCCTATTAGAAATTCCTGCCTTACCGCCTAAATACAATAACCTTATTCACCAGCACTAAAACTGTTCGCTTCTTTAAGATGGTCACCCTATTGATACGTTCGAACGTATCAATAGGGTGACCATCTTAAAGGGATAAACAAACAATGAATTGATATTTTTCTGACTATTTCTTGTCTAAATAAAACATTAATATTTTTTTGAATTATGGAATGCTCAATTAACATAGTGTCAAAGTATGTACTTAGTCTAAAAAATCACCCTGTATGCATACAGATGGCTGTTCACAAAAACCATTTAAAAAGTTAAATTGATATAATCGATTTATTAAAAATCGATTATTATTATTGAAAAAAAATATTTTTAAAAATGGATTATAAGAAGGAAAATAATCGATTAATATCAAAACCGATTATTTTTTCACATCCCTAGTATATGACATAGATTGACACTTCATTAAACTTATAAATCTTTTATTTAAGAAACACATAACCAGATATATAAAAGATATATTTCAGATATATAAAAGTACTCTGCACATAACATCATAATATGGGGAAGTGTTTTTTTTAGTGTAATGCCCCATAATTCCCCCCCTACTGTAAACTGTTCCATGGTCGGTGACGGCTAATATCCTAGGGAATGGACCGCCAAGTGCCGTAGAAGAAGGAGTAGTAATACCTATTAAAATATATTATGAAAATAATGTCGATGTATCATGTACTTTATAATATAATATATATCATGTAATTTTAAGACTATAATTATTACAATGAATAAAATAATAATATACGTCTAACGAGCTAAGATATCAAGGATGACGATGGTATTGTCTTCAATCTTAAAGCCCTATTTTTACCAAACGATACGCCAACTTCTCAACGTACGTTTTCATAAAGTGTGTAATTCGGGTTTAAATAACTTTTTTGGAGAGCTGAAAAAATACAATAAAAACAGTAAACATGTAGAAAGTTCTCAAGTTATAAAAGTTACAGGTACATTCATTAAATAAATTTTTATTACTCACCATTTAACGATTATTATATTCAACACAATTTTTTAGATACATCCTCAGTCAAATCAATCAAACAAAATCTTATTTCAAAATTAAATTTTGAATGCGATGAAGATGCAGATCCATTTTATAGTTTGCCTCCAAGAACTTTACTACAAATATATAATTGTACTAAACATGATGAAAGAATGGGCTTTTGTAAAAATAGATTGTATTATATGTCATCTCGTTTAAAAGTAAGTTTCAAGTTATCCTCTTAAATTAATTATTACTCTACTTTACTTATAATTATGGTTATTATTTTAGTGCCCGTCTAATGTTCTAAGCAATTCCTTAGCAAAAAGAACATTTATTTATAATTTATCATTTGATTGGCTTGAAAGTTCATTAAATGTTTTATTAGGTAAGATTATATTATCATACTTGATGTCATTTAAAATCTTTATAATTATGTATTGATATGGATGTAAATAGATTATTTTCTTTTCCAGACATGGGAGTAAGTCCTGAACGTATAGTAAGAGATTTATGGGTACTTAAATATAATCACAAAACTATTCATGATAGACTTTCTAAGGTTAAAAATTTGGGTATCACCCACCTTTATCCATGGATGGTGAGATGTACAGAGCAAATATTAGAAAGGTAATATTAATAAATTTTTGCTAGGAAGATGTTTTAGAATACAAAATTTTTATATAATTATATTTTAACTTTTCAAGTAGTACTTATTATCTCACTCAACAAATATCAGATTTATAGTTGATTCTTAATTTTTCTTATAGTACAAAACAAATGAAGTTATCTTTCATTATGATTTTTTTAAAATATTTAACATGAAATTTCTTAAAAGGGTGAAATCTTGCATTTGTTAAAATATTTCCTTCATAGATATAGGTGACCGAAGTGCATTATTTCCAACTTCAGATCAGTAACTGCTCTTTTCTCCATTTTAAACAATCCATCTATAAAAATCCATCTTTGTTAAATAGTTAATATCTGGTCTAAATTTAAAGATTAAATTCATCATTTTTTTTTAATTCTTACAGTAATTCTTTTACCATACAGGCTACACTATCTTGGAGTTCCCTATTTCAACACCATTGAAATGTTTTCGAGTTTGTGAGATTCCTCTCTATTTTATTCTACTTTTAGTGGTTAGGAATACTATATCTCTGTGTATTAGGAAGGGCACTATAATATTATATAAGTTCATCATAGGCCATTAAGTACAATAAGGTCCCAGCAGCTTGATCCTCATAAGAACCAATTGTAATAAAGCAACAAAATCACTATTAAATATAAAATTTGCACTCACAGGTATATTGAAATATTGCAAGAAACAAAAAATATTCTAGGGGAAAATGAATCCACACAGATCTACTTAGCAAGGAGGCTTAATATTTCTCCTAAGGATGTAGAAGACATATGCGAGAGAATACCTACACTGAAAACTATTAGAGTTACTAAGGTATTTCTTACTTACTAAACTAGTTTCTAGAAACCAATGACTTACAGTTTATGTGCAATTACAATAAATTTTTTTTTAGCTCAAATCTTTTTTAGACTTTTTAATCAGTGAAGGATTTGCATTGGAAGACATATCCAAAAAACCAAGAGTATTAAATGCATCTCAGAAGACAATAAAGCAAAGATTAGAAAGATTAAAAAGTCTGGGACAAAATGAAATTAATTTAAATATTTTGTGTAGGAGTAGGAAAGACTTCCAAAAATATTGTACCTCATTAGAAGCTATAAAAAATCCGTCACTATAAAAAGTATGTAAAATAAAGTAAATCTGTCATAGCAAATTTGCATTTTTATTAATCATGCGGCATGGAAATAACCTATGAAATGTTAAAAGTTAGATCAAAATTATTTTTAAGTAATTTTTTATACAATGTAATTTGCTCTAATTGTAACAAGTTAATGTCATAAATTATAACCTGCTCTGGTAAAAATACTTCACCCATTAGGAATTTATGGATTGCTAAGAATAACTTACAACACGTTGGGATAGGATACTTAGTTTTAATTTTAAAAACTTGATAGATAATTAACTAAATTTTAATGAAAGAGAATATACATAAAAGATGATAATATTCGCACAAGTTGTGTATTATTAAAATTTTATTGGTACCAGAAACAATCACTTTATTTACATGCCCTATACCTTTATTGGTATTGAATAAACCCATAATAGGAAGAAATATTACTCAATAAAAATAACACAGATTTATTGTAAGTAGTTTTGCACATTACAAAAACATGTGATTTTGGAATGAATTATATATAAAATCACCAATGAATTAATTGCAAGAAATTTAAAACTTTGGTGATGAATCATGGCAATAAGGCCATGTTAAGTTCCAAATAACCTTTTACAATTTCCCATTCATATGAACATACTACATTAATCTAGCATTTTGCAATGTTGTGTCGTCAATAATATTGAACTACCTAGATTATTTTATGATAAAATTACATGTGAGGTCTGAGTAAAAATCCTTTACAGGACAAAGATAATAATTGACCTACTGGTGGGAACATTGCATACCATGGCCACCATGCATGGCTTCCTCATCATCACTGGCATATGCCTCTTCTCTACCACGGCCCCTTTCACTAGCAGTGTACTCCATCATGTTCACTTCCTCTACATCCTCTCCTGTTGGCATAACAAAGGCTGGTCGTGGAGGTAATATACTTTCTATTTTCTTAAGTTGTTCTTCAGTAGCAAAGTTGTTTTCAGGAAATACAACATTAAATTTTATGTATAAATTTCCTTTTTCAAATGGATTTTTAAACTGTGGCATACCTTCACCTTGTATACCTTTCAGGTCTCCTGGCTTAATAATTTCACCAGCAGCATGTCTAATAAGTAAATCACGACCATCTAAATGTTTCACAACAAATTCAAATCCACATAATGCTTCAGTCAATGTAATGTCATGTTTCATAAGAAGATCATCTCCAGTTCGCTGAAACACATCATGAGGTTTTTGTTGCAAAACGATAATAACATCACCAGGTTGCACATCAGGTTGCTGGTCACCTTCACCTCTAAAGAAAATTTTTTGGTTTTCTCGCATACCTTTTTCAACATGTACTTCTAAAATTTTGATCTCATTTAACACTTTCTTTCCCTTACATTTAGGACATTTATCTTTGTCACTTATTGTTTCGCCCTGCCCTTGACAGGTGTGACAGCGAGATTGGAATTGACGAGTCATATTAGGAGCAAATTGCTGGTAAGTCACTTTAATACCTTGCCCATGACAATCCCTACAAGATACAACGGATCCTGGTTTTCCACCTAATCCTTTACATGGACCACATATTACATTTTTGCTTAGCTGTAACTTAGCAGTTTTGCCAATGTACATATCCTCCAAGGAAACTTTAAGAGGGTGTATGGTATCTTCTCCACGAGCACGGCTACGGCCTCTACTTCCACCGCCCATGCCAAAAATGTCACCAAAGAAATGGCCAAACAAATCATCCGCTGGAAATCCACCACCTTGCCCTCCTTCTTGTAGCCCTTTTAAACCAAATTTGTCATAGGTTTGCCTTTTCTTAGGGTCAGACAAAACTTCATAAGCGTAGCTTATTTCTTTAAATCTGTCTCCCGCTGCAGGATTCTTATCGGGATGAAATTCTTTTGCTAACTTGTGGTAATTCTGTAAATAAAAAAATCGAATGTCTAATATTTAAGTATAACTATAACGTGCCTTTGTAAATGCATGTAATTAAAATTAAACAGCATAAAAACTAATTTACTCTTACCCTTTTTATTTCTGATTCACTTGCATTCCGAGAGACACCTAGGATATCGTATAACTTACTGTCTGCCATTATTTCTGAAATTAAGGTAAGTCTAAAAGGGAGTAACTCTGAATTAGCAGAGTGTAATACGAAAAGAAAGAAATGATGTTGCTGCGCAACATAGATAATAAACTGTCTACAGAACACACATACATTTTAAACTTCACCATAGAGTATAAAATATCACTATTACAATCTCAAAAATCCAAATGATAGACAAAACCACTTGTCACACAACACGGGTGTTTAAATGGCAAATGTCCTTCTACACTTATGCGCTTGAAGAAGACCGCGTCCTGCGCGTCTTTATAAAGTGAATTCCGAAGAAGTTCGATACAGACTTAGACCTTATAGCGCAAGCCCACCTAATCCTCAACGTTCTCCAACTCTCCGAAGAGAGAAAAAATCTTCGATACCTGGTCGTGTGGCACCTGGCATCATAATTGAAGCTCAGCACAGATACCTCATTCCGGCTCAGCGCCACTGTCATCAACTATATAGCCACTCTGCATGTAACCGTCACGGTACTAGTTTAAGAAAATATCAACGTCTATATCTCATTCCTCTGTCCATTCCATCGTAGACAGAATTGACCTACCCTAAATACTTACTACTTACAGAGGCGGATTAAACGTTGAGAGCACTATAGGCAAGCATCTGATCGGCGCCGCTACATTAAAGCTGTAAGCTACGAGTGGCATGTAAACCCCAAAATCATGAAATTCCCTATATAATAATTTCTGGCTTTACACGCCAGTAATAACAAGTTAAAAATATTTTTTCTCGGAAGCTATAAGCGACCAGAAAATTCTGCTTGTTGATTATTACAATAATTATATTCTTGTGTTTCGTTCCCAATTGACTGGGTCAAAATCTACGATAAACAGTTTATTTTGCGACTGCTTCACAACTTCTACTACTGACGAAATAGGCGGCGTAGGCTTGTACAAATTTTGTGGTTGTTTATAAGTAGTAGGAATTTCGTATTGCATAGGGTCGATAGTAGACGCACTTTGGATTGCCTTAGAAGATTCAGAATCATCACTTTTTAATTTTGAAAAAAAAAAAGTCTTAATATTTTTCGTTTGATTTATTACTTAATAATGTTTTTCTCCTTAGCCTTCCTATTATATTCTGCACCACTAGGTTTATTCTTAATTTACTCATTCTTATAAGTAATAAACAAAAACTTAATGGACCAATTAAATACATATAACACCGAAGCAAGAATGTTACAATAAAAGCGCCAGAATCGAATCAAACACGATTTCGACGTCTTCGACAAGTTCGACAAGTCAATGATCGCGTATCGGAACAACGCCAAACCACGTGAGACGCTCCACTAGAAGATATCGAGCCATTGCACACCGCCTACTGGCGATTTTCCCGTAGTTTGAAAGCAGAGCCCCACGAATCCCTACCGCCATTAGTAATACCTAATAGCGCTTCACTAGCCCTAAATGACTCTGAAAAAGTCTACACAATCGCGCGAACATGTAGATACAGCCCTTCTAACGAAGGTAGATCGCTTAACCGAACTTAGGGCTGCGCTACCACCGGTAAGCGAACCTTTAACCTTAGTGACCCCCGAAGAGCCCATACGCCCCAGGCCCAGATAAAGTTCAGCTACTCCGTCCCGAACGATGGAAAGAGGCCACCGTCGTCGGCATTCGAAAGGCAGCTACCGACCTAGCAGCTTCCTGAATTGCTTAGTAATAAAGGTAATAAAAATTAAAGCCGAAGAAACTCCCTCATAAGCCCTCTAGTCGACCTATCAGCCTCGTCAATTGCCTGGGGAAGGTCTACGAGCGGCTCAATTAAATAGACTCAAAGAGTACATATTTTCGAACGGCCTTATTCCAGTTGAACAATTTGGCTTTCGAGCTGGACACTCCTGTTCCGACCGATTATAACTTCGGCACATATTCTGAAAGGCCTCAATCTCCCCAAACACTTAAGCACGGGAGCTCTTTTTTTCGATGTCACTTTTGTGCTTTTGCATTCGACAAGGTCTGGCACAACGGCTTGCTTTACAAGCTGTTCGCACTCAACGTGCCAGACAGACTCGTGCAAACCATCCGTGCCTTCCTGTTGAATCGCTCCTTTCGATACCGAGCAGAGGGCACCCTTTCTACGAACTGCCCACCTCTCCCCTTTGCTTTTTACGCAATACACGAGCGACATAAAAGACCCACACGTCAATATCGCGCTTTTCGCGGATGTCACGGGCGCTATTTTGCACAGATGAAAATCTTAATCAGCTCACTACTCATCTCCAAAGCGCCGCTGACCGCCTCGGGATTCCGCAAATGGAGAATAGAAGTAAATCCCGAAAAGAATGTGACGATTCACGTCATACGAAGTACTTACCCGTCACACCTTTGTAAAGACCCTCGCCAATGCAGAAAACTATGGAAAACATCTCTTTACGGACAACCGCTCCCCTGGGAGGAAAAGGCCAAATATCTAGGAGTTACTTTCGACTCACGCATGGAGTTCACATAGCATATTAACTATATAAGAAACAGAGCCGCGTTCGTCTAAGGCCGATTCTATCACCTAACTAATGCGTCAAGTAAAATGCCCTTAAGGTACAATTATTATTATATTATATAAGGCCTGCGTAAGACCTATTCTGTCCTACCCTACTCGCTTACAAGTTGCAAATAGTAGAAAATAAGTTCAACGCAATGTTGACCTGTACAGTGACTGCAGACTCCCGACGATTCGCGAACGTCAATAAGCGTCGCCCGCGCAACGTCCTCATCGACCCAGTCAAGGAAGGGGACTCAAGTACGTCGGAACATCCGTCGGGGACCCGCTAAATACACACACGCAGTCAGTGCATCAACAAACACCATAGTTTGTCCTCGCCTACGAGCACGGCGAAACTAACACAACGTGTACACTCGGTACAGCCGCGTTGCAGGGCGGTTCTCACCGCCCCCAGCCACCTACTAACCAAGCACAGTCAACGGCCATCGGAGTCACGGTCCACACCGAACCTCGATGGCCCGTAGGCGACATGCCATAAGTAACGCACGCATGAATACATGTGCTGCCCTACCCGAGCAATGCCTGAAGGCACTCTCTAGTCGAGGACGCCGTCCTTAGTTTGTGCACTAGTATGCAGAGGCGGATTATCCTTAAGGCAAACTAGGCATGTACCTATGGGCGCGAGGATAAAAAGGGGCGCGCGGCGGGATTGTAAAATAAAGAAAAAATATATAATATAGCATAAAATTTATTGCACCATTAATTTTTATTTTTTTTTTATTTTTATTAAGTGAACAATACAACATAAAAAACTTTATTCGCCAAATTGTAAAAACAATTTATCGGCGACACAATGCACTCTTACATAATTGTCACTTAAATAACGAAATAAAATAATAACTAAGCAATACAAGAAAAAATAAAATAAAAGAAAAATAAAAACTGGAACAATCTAAGTAATGCTACTATTATAATAATCTATATAAAAGGCCTTTAACTTTCTTTTGAAGATATTCTTGCTTATACAATCATTTTCAGAAAAAATCTCATTAAATATTTTTGGTACTAAATACCTCTTTGTCCTCATCCCATAATAATTACACATAATAGGCTCCACATAAATTTTTCTGCTTTTATTTCTTAGGCTATTATGTTTTAGATTTTTAAACTCTGGCTTATCATATTCCTCTAGGGCTAATAAAAATTTAACTTTTTCATGTATTGGTAATATATTACATTTTTTAAACAATAACCTATAATCACCGTTACAATCTGATTTGCTGCGTTTAGTTGCAAGAAGCTTAATTAAACGCATTTGTAAAATTTTGATGTTATCTAGATATGTGTAAAAAGTGCGGCCATATGCAATCAATCCATAACTGAGTACACTATCAGCAAGAGTGTGATATAACAAATACATTGTTTTTTTATCAACTACATAATTAAGATATTTTAATTTGATTAATATCGTTCTTAATTTATCACAAACATTATTAATGTGCAAACTCCAATTAAAACTTACAATCTACAGTTACTCCTAAATACTTATAGCTTTTAACAAACTCTAAACTATTGCATTTACAATTTATATTACCATAATGTAAGCATTTATAGGTGTGACCAATAATTTTTAAACTATGATTCGGTTCATTTTTGTATGGGGAATGTATTAACATACACTTTGTCTTTGAAATATTTAAAATAATACCGTTGTCGTGCGCCCATTTTATAATATTGTCAAAATCATTCTGGATAACTTGTTCAACTTTTTTGATATCCCTATCCGCATACATAAGTCAAGTGTCATCTGCATACATGTACATGGAACAATCTTTGATCACATTTCGCATGCTGTTCACATGCATTATATATCCGATCGGTCCATACACAGAACCAGTTGGCACGCCGTAGCTCACATTTCCTTCGTCCCCAAAGCAACCTTTTATTTTTGTTATTATTGTTCTTCCATGTAAATAGTTCCTAAACCACTGTTTTATTGGGCCTCGTATACCACAGTCATCCATAGCTTGCAATAATAATTCGTGGTCTAAAGTTTCGAAGGCTTTTTTGAAGTCTATGAACAAAACTACAACATACAGCTTCTTATTTAACTTTTCATTTACATTATCAGGGAACTGGGACAATGCTGTACTAGTACTCAATCCCCTTCTGAAACCATGTTGTACGTCAGAAATTATGTTATGCTTTTCCAAAAAATCGTAGATTTTTCCTACAATTATATATAATATTTATCACCGAAAGTATAGCTATAGGTCTATAATTAGAATATTGTAAATGATCCCCGTTTTTGTAAATTGGCCGTATAATAGACTTTTTTAATTTTTCGGGGTATATGCCTGTCTTAACACACACATTTACAAATTTGGCCAAGATGGGACTAACCTCCTTTTTAATACATTTTAAATCTTGAACTCTAATTCCGTCAATACCTGGGGATTTTTTAACATTTAAATTATCTATAATTTTTTCTATATCACATGATGAAACCGCTTGATATCACTGTCACCGTCACATTTCTTTAATTCTTTTCTTTTATAATTATTTTTAACTATGTTAATAATTTTATTTGTGATATTCCTGTACCGTGTATAATTAAGCCGTAAGACATTATTTTTTGGATTTACTTTCCATATTCGGAATAGCTCGTCACGTCTTTTTAATATTAACTGTAGTTTATTATTAATCCATGGTTCGCAATTTCGTTTCGCATTTTTAACTTGCAGAACAACTTTAGCTTCCTCGTAGATATTTTTGTACACGTTACTTAACTTATCATACATTAATATGGGACAATCTAGGTTTTTAATTTTCGTCCAATCTGTTTCATTAAGTTTTCTACGGACTAGTTCATTATCGAGAGCGTAGATGTCCTCAGTTGTACGTACCCACATATGATCGAGACACGATGTAAACAGCTGTCCGGCTTTTATTTCTTCCCGCGTACATTCATTGATAGCACTCTGTAGGCCGTGGTTACACAAGGCGTTCTTGTAACTCTCGACTATTGTATTATAGGTAATAATGTTTAGATTCATATCTCCAGCAACAATTAAATCTATATTTTTCGGTATTTGTGTAATTAAATTATGTAACTCATTTATAAATTGTAATTTATTTGTATGTGGTGGCCTGTATATCGCTACTAAATGGATAATATTTTTATTGTATTTAAAGTTGCAATGTAACATTTCCATGGTGCTTCCTAGACTATTTTGTAAGCTTAAATTTAATTCTTTTTTTGCATATATTAACAGACCACCTCCTCTTTTGGTGATTCTAGTATAGGCCTGAATATCGTATTCTTTTATTTGGTATAACATTAATTCCTCCTGTTTGATATTTATCTCAGATAATACGATAATATCTATATTATATTGACATTGCTTAAGAAGTATAAGGACGGAATTAAAATTACATCTTAATGAGCGAATATTTAAATGCACTACATGTAACTCATCTACTGTTGATTTTATATACTTACTCCATGCATTATATTTTTTAAATGAAATATTACATCCGTCTAAGTGTTGTAGTATATCGTTGAATTTAAATATAAAACAGAAATCACCCAGTGTACATGCGCCTTAACGCTCGCTTGTTTACTCCTTCTGTCCTGTCACGCACAGTTTGTTAACATCCGTATCAGTTCGTACGTTAACAATTTTTGCGTTGTCGTCTTTTTTAACTAATATTTTAGAGTTTTAAACCCATATATATTTATAATTTCCTTTTAACAGTGTTTTTGTGTTCCAAAATAGTAAACGCATTTGTTTTGATAAGCATTCATTGATGTATACTCGGTTCTTGTTGTTATTACCAAGAATATCAGAGTTGGTGAGTAAAACTTTTTTTTGCTTTAACCATTGTTCCTTTTGAATTTTAGAACTTAACGTAACAATGATAGGCCGAGGTCGCCTTGCGGCTGGTTTATCTCGGCCTACCCTTCTTGCATTTTTTATACATTTTGAATCCAAATTCAATTTGTTTGCAATTTTTTCTACAATTAATTGCAAAATTAAGCCACTTAATTACATAATAAAAACTATTATTTTTGCTTAGAACCTCAATTTGCTTCAATTTATAACAAAAGATAAACTTAATGGATGGGACTGATTAAAACTTGCGCCTACAAACAATCTTGTCGATGGTACATGACCTCTAATTGAAATAGGAAAGATGGACGGCTACAATGTACGCTGCATCGATCGCGACTTGTGAGTATCGGAAGCGGACGTCCCTGCTTCTAAAATTGCGGAGACGAGGGTTCGGTGCTGGGGAGCGAGATAAGCGGTCAGCAGCGAACAAATGAGTGGAGTTTTATTTTTTTTTAATGGGAATTGGCGGCAAACGAGCAGGAGGCTCACCTGATGTTATGATGCCGCCCATGGACATTTGCAACACCGGAGATCTTACAAATGCGTTGCCGGCCTTTTAGGAAGGAGTATGCTCTCTTCTTGAAGGTTCCCAGGTCGTAACGGTTCGGAAAGACCGCCGGTGGCAGCTGGTTCCACAGAGTGGTTGTGTGAGGCAGGAAATGCCTTGAAAATCGCGCTGTTGTGGAACGCTGATCATCGAGGTGGTGTGGATGAAATTTTTGGTTTTGGCGCGTTGTCCTATAGTGAAGTTCAGCCGCCGGGATCAATCCAAACAATTCCTCGGAACACTCCCCGTGAATGATGCGGTAGAAGATGCAGAGTGATCTAACATTTCTACGCACAGCCAAAGGATCAGGCCGATCGGAAAGAGCTTGATCGTCGATAACCCTAGCTGCCCTACGTTGGATGCGGTCAAATGGAAGAAGCTGGTAGCAGGGGGCTCCCGCCCAGAGGTGAGAGCAGTACTCCATGTGGGGCCGAATTTGCGTCTTATAAAGCTTTAGGTGTTGAGCCGACGTGAAGTACTGTCTCGCCTTGCTGAGCCCACCGAGCTTCTTTGAGGCCAATTTGGCCTTACTTTCCAATTGACCGCGGAACTGGATATTGCTCGAGATTTCAACGCCAAATTTTCCGATACTGGCTGCGGCAGACAGGGGAGTGTTCTCAAAATGAGGAGTCACGACAAATGGGGACTTTTTAGCGGTTAACGCGCAAACTTGTGTCTTATTGGGGTTGAATTGGACTAAGTTTAGTCAACCCCAGTCTGAGGCTTTTGTTAACAATGTCTCGACTTCAGACACGACTATCAACTTTTTTGTCTTATTTGTCTTGGTTACGCGCGCTTTTATTTTTTGTATTTTGTATAACTGATGTTACGCTTTCAGACCTTAGACTATTAAAGCTTCATCAAACGCAGAACCGATGCGCTAGCCAGAACCCACGGAATTGAGGCCTTCCTCAGTGGGTAAGGCTGCACATGCACACATGCGTTCGTTTATTATGGCACGTCGCCTACGGGCTATCGAGGTTCGGTGCGGACAGTGACCCCGATGGCCGCTGACTGTGCTTGGTTAGTCGTTGGCTGGGGGCGGTGAGAACAGCACTGGAACGCGGGTGTACCGAGTGTACGCGTTGTGTTGGTTTCGCCGTGCTCCAAGGCGAGGACGAACTATGGTGTGTGTTGATGCACTAACTGACTATGTAGTGTTATTTGGCGGGACCCCGACAGTGGGTCCGACGTACTTGAGTCCCCTTCCTTGACCGGGTTGATGAGGACGTTGCGCTCTTTAGTGTAAAGGCGTTGCGCTTTACATTAAAGAGTTCGATTGGCTTGTAAAGCCAGAAATTATCATATAGGGTATTTCATGATTTTAGGCTTTACATGCCAGTCGTACTTTATTGCTTTAAAGGAGGGGCGCCGATGAGATGCTTGCCTACAGCGCTCTCGACGTTTAATCCGCCTTTGGTCACAGTATATGCTCCGATAATGTCATCGTCTAAATTTAATAAGTGTATTAATTGCAATATCGTGATAAATGAAGTGTTATCATTCATGCAGTGCGTTCAGTGCTCAACATATCGACGAGGCCAAGTTGTTGTTTCATTCTGTTAAAGCCAAGAGATGGGAAGAAACAGAAAAAGTATAGGAGATATGATAACTCTTTTGAAAGACAGGGATCAATACCTATATTCGTGGCGAAGGATTTGCATAAACTACCACCAGTAGCATTCGACCACGGAGACGTTACGAGACTCATTATGACAATTAATTATCTCGTAAAATATCCTTTCCTGCATACGAATTAATAACTGCTAAGCATTCGCGAAACCCTTAATAGCAAGCCCCGGGGCAGCAGATGTGGGACTAATTGATGTCCCGTGGAGAGCTTGAGAGTGTTGCCGTGTTCATTGCACCGACACGGCACCATTTGGCTGGACCCGGACAGAGGAGGCCTGTAAAGGCCACGGTCGCACCGGGGTACGTGGAAGATTGCGTTTTCGTGTTCCGTGTCCCCGGCATAAGCGACAGCGCAGGTGCAGTGTGGGTTCTTTTCCCACGTAAAAAAAGGTTATATGGGTTAGATTTTTAAGATTTGATTATATTCGATTTAGTTTTTTTTATTTTTTTGAACTTTTTAGTGTTAATATACTTTTTTGAAGTTGGTTCTTTTATTGTTAAAGAAAGTGTGTGTATACTAATGTACACGCGTTAGATAAATGTTATACAGCGTGTCGTTACCATCGCGACAATAAATGGACACACATATGTGGGATAACTTTTTAAAGTTGTATTAAACATTTAAATTCTTTAAACATCAATATTTACAGAGTTATTAAGTTTTCCAAAACAAAGAATTTTAGAACACCCTTACCTATAAAAGCGTAACGTAAAGTTCATTTGTAAAGGTCACAAAGCATATCGACGCTTGAAAGGCAACCCTAACTAAGCGACAAAAATCCGTAAAATGAGTTATATATACCATTCGAATCACCAGAATTTTTCGCGTCGTTTGATCTGAGTCTCATGGTTCTACGACGAGTTTTTTGTCGCTTAGATATTGAGAGATTTCGGTCAAAATCTACATAATGTGCTTACTAAACGACAAAAAAAAAATGATTTTAAGAATATGCAGCACATCGACATTTTGAAAATTAGGAATATGAACTTAGTCGGTTTCTTATATATTGACTTTTTCATTTATTTGTATTTACGTATTTTTACTTGTTATGAAATTTCCCTTTGAAACTACTTAGTAGATCTTACCTACAAAAAGCAATTGTAATTCATGTGGTTACGTATTTTAGCTTATTATTATATTTTGTGAATGTGTCTTTTGTATAAGTTAACCTGAAATAAAGCGGAAGAAAATTAGAGCTTAGATATTTTTAGTTGATAACGGTTAATGTTAATGATGTCGGTTATATAGTTCTACTTGATTTTCTAAATGACCAAGCATGGCGAGTAGATAAATTTACCCGTACGCAAATTTTATTTTCCCGTCGCTAAGGAACTGCGTAAGTTTCAAAAACTTTGTATAGATATACACGATACGTGAAGTGACACGCCTATACGGGTTCTCAACCAGGCGCCTGCAGTCGCTTAGGGAGGACGTATTTAACATTTTGGTGCAAATTCAATGAAGACATAGTAATCGATCAAATTATGCAAAACTCTCTCAAAACAGATAGTCACTTTATCTGCTGAACCAGCCATATTTATCACTTACCTCATATCACGATCTACCATCTACATCTGCAGGACTAAGTAGAGAATCAATCGGATCAAATGTAATCTAGCATTTTGAACGTTTTCTGGAATTTTGTTGTAGTAACGTAGGTATACATTATCCCATAAAACATTTACTTATTTTACGCAGTTTACTTGTGGGTAGGATCAATTTATTTTTGTTCCTAGTATTTATATCATGAACATTATTATGTCTTGAAAATTTATCCTTATTTTTATGGACATACAAACATTTTCAAAAATGTATTGAGAAGCAACAGTCAATACCTTTATCTCTTTAAACAAGTTTCTTAATGATTCTTTGGGGCCCAGATTGTAAACTGCACGAATAGCTCTCTTTTGTAAGATGAAGATTGTATTACTGTCGGCCGCGTTACCCCAAAGCAGAATGCCATAAGACATTATACTGTGGAAATAACTAAAATATACCAAGCGAGCCGTATGCACATCAGTTAACTGTCTTATTTTTTTGACCGCGAAAGCTGCTGAGCTAAGTCTACTCGTCAGTCTATTAATATGGGGGCCCCATTACAGTTTGGCATCAATAGTTATGTCAAGGAATACAGTTGAGTCAATAGGGTCCAACGCTTCTCCATTTAAAAGAACATCAGTTTTTACATGTTTAACATTGGAAGTTGTAAATTTAATACATTTAGTTTTTTTATTATTCAACAGTAAATTGTTAGCACTAAACCAATGTACTACAGTGGATAGAGTATTGTTTACATCGTCATAACTTAAAGAACGTCGTTTTACTTTAAAAATTAAAGAGGTATCGTCAGCAAACAATACTATCTCATGATTATTATTAACTAGATAAGGTAGATCATTTATGTAAATGAGGAAGAGAAAAGGCCCAAGAATAGATCCCTGCGGGACCTTCATATTTACCAGGGCCCCAGGAGATCTTTTGCCATTCACGTCAACTCTCTGTATTCGATGGCTCAAGTACGATTTCAGAAGATTGAGTGCGGCATCTCTTATACCATAGTGGCGTAGTTTCCTGAACAAGGTCTGATGCTGTACACAGAGCTGAGAACAGGTTGTCACTCCATCTATTGGGTGTCGTCCTATACTGCGATGGCCAGTACGAGGCTGCCACTCGAGAACCTTTCTTCCCCAACGGTTATCAGTTCTACGAGCTATATGGCCGGCCCATCGCCACTTCAGCTCACTAACCTTCTGAGCTTTGTCGGTTACGTTTGTTCTAC